GAAAATCTGGGGTGTTACAGGGACGACGGTCCCGGGGGAATAAGGTTGGACTAAGAAGTACAGGGGTCCTGGAGGTAATGGTTGGAAAGAATGTACAAGGTTGGGGGTAGCCATAAGGTTGGAACAGGGTATAAGGAAGGCATACGAACTCGTGATGGGTGATGTTGCAAGGGATTGTAAAGCCGGCGCTGTGTGTTCTTCTCTCGTGACGTGTGTAGTCACGAAGGCTTGTGTTGTTTTGGCATGTGTTGCCGTTGGGTGAGTCTTTATCCTTTGCGTGTGGTTAACCTTTGTGGTTTGGGATGTGTTCCCGTGTTATCTTTGAGAGTGATGAGTCTTGTGTTGACTGTTGATCTTGGTTTTGACTTATATATATATGTATTCTGTTTCAAAAATGGTTTTTATGACTTATATCTATCTATATATGATACTTAACGGTATTGGTGGGTTACCAGCATTATTCGCTGACCGGGCGTCGTCCCAATGTTTATCTTTGTATCTTTCAGGTGATGTTTAGACGAGCGTGATGTCTAGAGCCTGGTAGCTTAGCACCTTTATCCTTGCTTTTGTGGCCTGTGCACTAATGTAGTTAGACTGATGTTTTGGGATAGATGTATACACTTGCAGATTGTTTGCCGTAGCGTTTACCGTGTTTGGTAGACGTGGTGTGACACCCCGTTGGATTTCTTTTATCCAATTTCGTTTTATCTTCCGCTGTGCTAGTTTTGTCATTTAATCTGCATGTGTTAAGGCTTTTATATAGGTCTTGTTTGGGGGGGTGTTACAAAGTAACCCACTACTTCTCGTTGAGTACATATTGTATAGATATATGAAAACCATTTGAGACTTGGAATACATAATATATAGCCTTTTAAAAAGAGGAATAGAAACAACGTAGAACTCATCATAGACACTCTCAATTAACCGATCATCATACAATAAATCAAGAGGTCAATACAACGATAAGAACAACGGAATCATCAATAACATATGATCATCAATATCAATCAAGGTAACATCATAACACGAAGGATAACATCAATACATGCTCATAGCAAATGAAAGTCAAAGATCGCAACCAGTGACCATTACCAACGACTATTTCCCACCTTATGCCATGTTCCAACCTTACACCACTCCATCTTTATAACAATTCCAACCTGTACCTCCAGGCCACCCTGTACTCCACCAACATCCCTCCGGAGCCATTGCTCACCACCAGCTTTTCCGCCATCTTTCCAATAGAGTACAACATATGTGCAAGATCACAACAAGAGATTCAATCAAAAGACTTCAAGGAGAGACATTAAAGGAACATTCAATACAATGTCACAATAACGATAGACTTCAATCCAAAGATTACCATGATTTGTGAATACAAGTTACCAATATTCGTTGAGAACGAATGAACATACACATACTAGTACCAACAACATCGTAACTAGCATGCAAATCAATAGGATAAACATAACGGTTCAAACGAACATCAATGACTTCACATTAATCCAACGAATCACAAAGTTGGACTTTTATCATGATTCAAGACTCAAAATCCTATCATGGTTACTTAGGACACCGTTCTAGACATACGTAACATCAAAAGAGACACACAATTGCACAACGTTTCAACAAAACGGAGGCCAAAGCACAACATACCAGTGAGCGGAACGGTGGGTGGACAACCTCCCGCCACCCGACCCGTCTGTACCAGCGGATGGAACCACGGTAGGCAACCACCCATAGCCCCCCCCCCCCCCCCCCCCACCCACCACCAACACCATTGTTCCCTGCGAATGGAACGGCGGTAGGCTCTCCGCCCACTGTTCCGCCCGTGGGTACACTACCTAGGAGGAAAAATTCCCTTCGGGGAAAAATGTAACCAATGCCAAGTTCAAGTCCAAAACACCCAAAATCTCACATCAATCATCAAAGGAACTTGAAAAACAAGAATAGTTCAAAGAATACCATTTATGAACCCTAGATACAAGCTCTAACATGCATAAACACAAGAATATGCATCATTTCACTCATGAACAACAAGAACATCAATAGAACATCAAGAATCATCATAGCAAGTATAAAATAGGTTTTGTAGAGCATGGGTTACCTCCTCAAGCCTAGAAACACTTCCTTCAACCTCTACTCCTACTCTTGGAACTCTTCTTCATCAAGGTCTTCCAAATACAACCAAAAATCATACAAACAACCAAAACTTAGATAAAGATAAGGAGAACCCAACTAAAAACACTAGCTAAGCTTAAGTCTTACCCCTCCTAAGGTCTTGGTGGATGAAAGTTGGAATCTTGAAGGGTTCTTGGCATGATTGGGGAAGGGTTTTGGTTTAGCTTGGGGAAGAAGCTAGGATTTTAGAGAGAAGGTGGAGAGAAATGAAGTTCTTGCCTAGTATGAGAAGACAATAGTGGTGTGTTAGGGAAAATATCTTGGATATCAAGTAAGGGTTGTGAAAAGACTAAAATAGCCTCCCTTGTCTACAAAATTGTTAGGACGAAATTAGAGGCTAGGTACAAGGCATAAGGCACAAGGTACAATTCATTGACTAAATCAATTGACTAAAGAGTCTAGTCAATATAGGTCCTTAGACTATTTAATAAGGGATTAGGAAGGAATTTGCAAGGCAAGTTTAGAATTAATTAAATAATTAATTCCGTTTAAGGGGTAATTTTCCGTGGTGTCACACCTAGCTTTTCTCTCCCTTTTGTGGCTGGTAATTGTGAGGTTGTTATATTCAATAGTATATAAATAGCACCTCACTAAGTGATTGAAACACACCAAAAAGCATACAGCTCTCCTATTCTCCTTTCCCTTCTCGTCTGAGCATACAGAGTAGTCCCAAGTTATGCGTTTGCAAGTCGAAAGCACATGATACTTGGTCCTGAAATGCTTTTAATGCAGTGTTAGTTATAACACGTCGCAAGAACAACTTCTTTTCTTTTCCTTTTAAGTTGTCCAGCCTAAATTAACAAGTACTCGTATTTTGTTGGTACGTGTACGACATTGTTGTCCTACCAGTTTGACCCCCGAAATACAACTTGTATATGGTGAAAGTTCAACCTTTATAGCATGAAATAAGGAGACTTAAACCTTGTCTTTATGTCAGACATGGTTTACTAATTGATACACCTCTCCTTCCCTTTTAGCGGTTGAGGTATTCTAGCGATAGAACTTCAGAAGTAAGTCTAACTCAATTAGGGGTGAGCAAAAAACTGGACAAACTGAAAAAACGACGACCGAAAATCGAACCGCCTGAATATTTCAGTTTTCGATTATTAAGGTAAAAATAATTTAGTTATTTCGGTTTTTCAGTCGGTTATCAGTTTTTCAAGAGAAAATCGAAAAAATCGAAGATTAATCTAAAGGAAAAAAAAAATCTAACCTCATCTCGTTTATATTTTGCAAGCAGTGGCGGACCCAGAAAATTATGTGAGTGGGGGCGTAGTTCAAATTACTTTAGAAATGTCAATGAAAATATATCAAAAACACCCATAATACGGTTGAAATACAAAATATATTATAAATTATAATACAATGTTTATGAGTTATGACAGACTACAAGATAGTTAGGGGCGGAGCCAAAACTATACTTGGGTAGGGTTAAATTTTAAAACACTTCAAAATGCTATAAAAATATATGAAACATAATCGATTAGATAAAATAGTTTAAATAGAAAAGACAGTATATTCATAAATACTTTAATTTTAATTTTCTTTTAATTAGATCAACTTTAAATTTTTCTAAATTAATTCGAATACAATGAAGTATAATATAAACTTGTGGACTACATTAACTATATGATTTAAGTAGACTTAAAAAATATTTAATTCATTGAATGATTGAAAGGGTTAAAATAAATAAAAGAAACTAAAAATACTATAAGATTAGAATGACTAAAATAAAAAATAAAATAAAAAAAGAAATACCAAAAATTACTACTAGCGGGAATTGATTCCATGACCTACCCACAACAAACCTAAGGATTCAACCAACTAGGCTACTAAAGCCTTTAGTGATAAGTGTATCTATATTATGTAAAATGGTTTAATTAGGGAGGGGTACTGGAGGTAGACTGCAGGTCCGCCATTGTTTGCAAGTTCATAGTCTATCACATTAATTTTAATCACTTATTGAATTGCACGGCATATGTTAATCATATCAAAAATCGTATAATACCAAGAATCATATAAATTTGTTCAAGATCTTCATTTCTTTGTTACTGGGAGTGAAGATGAAATTGAACTAGTAATATTGGCCAGTGGGCACAGTGCTTCAAGGATTCTTCGATGCAGTTGGTATTCTTCTTAGGGACAATGTTGACAAGAGGGAGGCACAACAGACTATTAGTTAGGCACTGGCCACTGCTCGTGAGTCATGAACATCTCACTAGATCTCTTTTGAAGTGATACATTGAACAAACAAGAAATGATAGAGCAATGCAATATCAAACTCTCACCACACCTAAAGCTACAACTTCTACACATACTTTGACTGCTAAAAGCTTCCTCTGTTTTGTTCATTTTACGACATGCAATCTGCAAAAATAGAGTTCATTTATATCTCACTAAACTACTATTGTACTTGAGACATCAATTTTAATTGATTACAAATACTAATATATTGTTTTTTTTTTCCTTTAATAATTTAGTCTTTTAACATTAGTCAAATAAATAAAATAAATTTAGCTATTCTACTAAAAAAAATTCGGTTATATTCAACCAACCGAAAATCATCGATTTCGGTTATATCGGTTATGAAGGTTGGTCGGTCAATCTTCGGTCGGTTATGAAGATTCGATTAAAATTTCGGTTATTAACCGAAAACCGACGGATGCTCACCCCTAAACTCACTAGGCTCTTTTTCTTCATCTTGTTTTGTAAAACAAGGATTAGAGGTGTTTAGTAGATGCCCAACAAAATGCCTTAGAAACTTTGGAGAATTAAGAAGAAATAACAAAGAAAAAAAAAACAAAAAGAGTTTCTGTTGGATTGAAGAAAATACAAGTTATATTGATGCTTGAAGACCACAGACCTATGAGCTATACAAGACATGTCTGAATCATTTGATGAGCAATATTATGTTAGGCTACTTTGCAATTCATAGAGGTTTATGCTCTTAATTCAAAAACTATGGGTAAGGATCTGTGCTTGTCTTCTGAAAATGAACAGCCTTGTCCTTAAATATATGCATCAGCAGATCACACACTTGACGAGAAGATGGCCTTTCAGCCGGAGCAGTTTTTGTGCATTGCAGTGCAATCTCCAGCATCTGGAATGCAGCAGCTTCTTCGTTGGGCAACAATGGTTTCAGGGTGGGATCGATTAGCTCCTCATGGGCTGATCCCTGGATCTCGATGCCTGACTCGACCCATCTCACCATGTCTATATGCTCCCCGAAACTCCCATCAGTTGGCATCCTTCCACTCACAAGTTCCATCAGCACGATCCCCATGCTGTAAACGTCGCTCTTCTCGGTTGCCTTGAGTGAGTAAGCGTACTCTGAAAAATCAAGAAAGATTAGCTTTGTTAATCCGTAAGTCAAATGTCTGTTTAAATTCCTAGTTGACAATTTTTCTTACCTGGTGCAATGTAGCCATAAGAGCCAGCAAACCACGTGTTTGATTCTGTGTTTAATGAGTCGTAGTTATCTGTAAGGGCTTTGGCTAGCCCGAAGTCCCCTAGATGTGCTTCCATGTTTGAGTCTAGCAGAACATTACTGGATTTGATATCTCGGTGGATGATCTTAGGCACACAGTCGTGGTGAAGGTATTCAACTCCTTGTGCTAATCCCATTGCTATCTTCAGCCTTGCTTCCCAATCGAGGCTCTTCTTGCTCTTGTTATTTGCGGGCTGGTTATGCAGCCAATCCCACACACTCCCATTCTCCATGTACTCGTAAATCAGCACATTTGAACCTTCCCCTTTATTGCTACAATATCCCATCAACCTCACCAAATGCCTATGCCTTATCCTCCACAATGTCTTAATCTCTCTCGCGAAGCTTTTATCTAGGAAGAGATCATCCTTTCTTGGTATTCTCTTGATTGCTACTGTTTCTCCATTAAACAGCTCGGCTTTGTAGACAGTGGCACACCCCCCGGACCCGATGATGAACTCATCGCTTAGATTGTTTGTGGCTTCCATAATATCATCCCATCTGATATCTCGCTTTTTAGCAGCATTTCCAAAGAGTGGTTTCCTCTGTGCTTGGGAAGAGCTGGAAGACGAGGAGGCGTAGTTCTCTTTGCCTCGTCTCCTCCTATAGGCTTCTCTATTGTGTTTGAAAAAGAAGGCCGCTCCCATTAACAGTAGAATAATTGCAACCGTAGCTGATAGGGCCGAGATTACCACCACCATTGACCCCTTATTTCTTGACCCCTTATCTCTGCAACTTCCAAGAGGACTTCCACAAAGATGCGAGTTTCCAACAAATGAATCGACTGGCCAGTGTGCGTATCGCTTGTCCAATTCCCCTTCGAGTTCGTTGCAAGACAGGTTTAGTCTGCCCAAGCTGCTCATTTCAGCTACTTGAGGTGGAATCTCCCCCGTGAGATCATTATGAGACAGATCAAGGGATTCAAGCTTGGAGAGAGTTCCAATAGAGGGTGGGATTTCTCCAGTGAGGTTATTGTAACTGAAATCCAGGACACTTTGAAGATCCTTGAGTTGCCCAACCTCCCTGGGAATTTCACCACTAAAGCGGTTTCGTGATAGACGGAGTTCATAGAGCTTGCCCAAGCCACCAATGGTTGAAGGTATTGATCCACAGAGCTGGTTATCATCAAGATTGAGAACATTGAGGGACTTCAAGTTCCCAATTTCAGGTGGAAGGGTTCCATTCAATGAATTATTTTCTAGTGACAGAACCAAAAGCTTGGAGCAGTTGAATAACTCTGGAGGGAGAGATCCAGAAAACTGATTAGAAGAGAGCTTAAGTTCACCCAAAAGAGGCAACCTTCCAAGCCAAACTGGGATTGGTCCAGAGAGAAGATTATTATTGAGATCAAGATGGGTGAGCTTCCTACAAAGTGAGAGTTGTGGAGGGATAAAACCACTAAGCTTATTTCCAGAGAGATCTAACAGTGATAATTCACGGATTAATCCCAATGTCATTGGGATTTTTCCAGTGAATCTGTTGCTCCCCAACCTTAGCCTATCAAGAGAAGGTGAATTTCCAAGAAAGGAAGGAATTTCTTGATCAAATGCATTGTTTGTAACATCAAACGACAGGAAAGAATGTGAGGTGCAGATTGGAGCAATACTCCCAGAGAAATTGTTATGTGAAAGATTGATTCTTGTCAGGTTCCCAAGATTTCTCAGATCATCTGGCAGATCACCTTCAAGAGAATTATTGTAAAGCATCAGCCTTGTGAGAGCTCGAAGATATCCAAAAGTTGCAGGAATGGCGCCAGAAAGGTGATTATCAGCCAAGTCAAGAGTATCTAATTGGTGACAGTTTCCCAAGCTGGCCGGAATCTCACCGGAGAGATCATTCTCTCTTAGGTGAAGGAAAAACAGGTGCTTTAGCCTCCCGAGGGTGATGGGGATTTTTCCGGTGAACTGGTTTCCATAGAAATCGATGAATTGCAAGCTGGAACAGTTGCCAATCTCTACGGGGATCTCGCCGGAGAAGTGATTCTCATAGAGAAAGATAATCTGAAGATCCCCAAGCATTCCAATCTCCCTGGGCACTTCCCCATGAAGATTGTTATGAAACAGCGACAAAGTCTGGAGATTGGTAAGGTTTGCTACAGAGGGAGAAATTGTACCCTCCAAGGTGTTATTGTTAAGGACAAGATCAGTCAATTGGGTAAGCTCATAAAGCTCTTCCGGTATGGAACCATTGAGAGTATTGTTGGACAAATCGAGCTGCTGAAGCACCCGGCATTGGCTCAACTCCGGCGGGATCTCACCGGAAAGCCCAGTTTCCGAGAGCATCAAGAGCTGCAGATTGGTGGCATTGGAACACAGGGATTTGGGTATGGTGCCGGAGAGATTGTTGCTAGTTAAAGCCAAGAATTGCAGCTGACCCATACTCCCAAATTCTCCAGGGAGTTCACCGGCGAGCCTATTTCCAGACAAGTCTAAGCTCTGAAGATTGGTCAATTTCGCCAGGGACTTTGGGATTGAACCTCCAAGCTGATTGCCAAGCAGGTTAAGATACACCAAGCTACTCATTTCACCAAGCTGGCCAGGAATCTCCCCGGTTAGAGTGTTATTAGCAAGGTTAAGTATGTGGAGATGTTTAAGCCCTCCCAGTTCTTTTGGGATTGAGCCATTAAGGCTGTTCAGGGCAGCACTAAATGCAGTGAGGCTAGAAATGTTGGCAATCTCAGGTGGCAAAGGGCCTTCCAGCAGATTCTGCTGCAAATTCAGATTCTGAAGCTGGGTAAGTCTCCCAAGTTGAGGAGGAATCAGACCACTCAGGTAACACGAAGCCAATCCAAGAGTAACAAGATTCCCAAGATTCCCAAAAGAAGTAGGAATCTGGCCTGTCAGGCCATTGTCCCCTATTCTGAGGGCTTGGAGATTGGTAAGCAGACCAAGTTGGGAAGGAATGGGGCCAACAAGGCGGTTAGAGAACAGAAGCAATGATTCCAAGGAAGAAAGGTTTGAGAGGGCAGGTGGAATGGGTCCTGAGAGGTGGTTAGAAGAAAGATCAAGGTGGAGCAGGTGAGTTAGAAGACCGAGTGAGGGTGAGATCGACCCGCCGAGTGACGAGTCAGAAAGATTCAGACTCACCACTTTCAGTGAACCATCGCACGAGACACCCTGCCATGAACAGTAATTTGGGTTCTTTTCCGACCATCCCTGCAACTGCAACACAAACGATCTTTTCACCTCCAAAAGAACCCTCAAAGTCGAGCTTGTGTTTTGGCACCTTACATATCCGCTTGAAGATACTACTGCTAACACGACAGCAATCAGCAACACAGAAAAAACTGGGTTTGGAATGCCCATTTGACAATTCCCTCTGATCACCAAAGAAAACTCACTCTCAGCGAGTTACTGTGATATTACGCACTTAATAATAGTGGCTAAAATCAGGTTGGCATGGAGAAGAGGAAGAGGGGGTGGTTTTGGCATTTAAGAAGACGACACAACTGTCTAGAATAAGAAAAACAGAGAGGAGGCGAATTGGTCTGGGCATTCAATTCAATTCAATGCGGAGTGGTCTTGAAATGGGTGTTTTAGAGAGGAAAAGATAAGAAAGGAGGCGGCAAGGCATGTCAGTCCGTTGACCAAAACAATTCCATTAATGGCCACCGAATAGCTGCTCCATTCACAACGAGGGATCAGAGATGAGTATCTTTCTTAAATGCAGTAGAGATCGATAGTTTATTAATATCTATGCAACAGAGAGCCCGAGATAGAGAAGATAGAGGGGTTTTAGAGCATCCATATCAGTTGGAGATATTAGGGGGAGAATGTAAGAGTGAGTAGGAAAGAGAATAATGTGGGAGGAGAGGGAAAAAAAAATCAAAACGGATTTTATAAAAAAAATATATAAAAAATAAGCATGTCATTTCTTTATTGGTTCTCTTTCCTCCATCATTAATTTTTTTTCTTGGACAGAGTAATATTCCAACATTTGCAGATGCTCCCCACCCCTTCTCTCTCTTGATTCTCTCTCTGCCACCATGGCATTTTGGTCTCAAAAGTAGTGAATTCTCCCCTATTTCTCCTCTGATGTAGATGCTCTTAGGATTAGGAAGACGAATGAATTAATTAATGAAAAAGGTAGGTTATTGTTGCTACATCCTAAATGATTGGACATATGGGTCAAGTGGAGTCTTAGAAGTGCCAACAAAAAACTATATACAATTGTGGTCACGTTAAATCACTTTGAATTTAGAGTGGATAGTTGCATGGAGTGGATGAGGAAATGTAACGGGGTTTATTAATTCTTGAGAAAAGCGTAAAATAAGGAGTTAATTATCAATTTGGTTTCTCGATTATGAGGATTTTACTAATTTAGTTCTCGATTACTAAAATTTTTTAATTTGGTCTTGAATATGATATTTTTATTCGATTTGGTCCTAAGTGTTATTTGCCGGTCAAACTTAAAGGGCAATTTGGGGATTATTTAAAAAATTATTATTACCTCATCACCTTCAATCCAAATTATTATTATCATCTCCAATTTCCAGCCAACATCATCATCATCAACGCCAACATGCCATTTCTTCACTAGACTTCATCCTTCATTCTCAACATAAACTCAACACCATAGCCGATCACCTCCCAACTACACCGCCGGACACCACCACCATCTACAATTTCGCGGATGCTACCAGAACGTTCCGTCGTCGCTGCACACCAGTCAACGCTACCTCCAACTGCTATTGCTAGGTTAGCCGAGAGAGAGGAATGAAGTTAGAAGGTGGGAGCTGCTACTGCCAGAGCTCCTCCATTACTTCCGCCGTGACAGGAAGTGAGAGAGGGAGACTGTTGCTCGCCACTGACCTGCTTTGCTTCGCTGGAAAATGATATCGCCAGAGTTGCTTTTGAGATGAGAGGGATAAGAAAGGGAGAGAGAGACGGAGATCCACCGTCGTGCCTTGCTTCTGCCACTTGTCAACACTTTGCCGATCAACAGTTTGCATCGTTGACGAGTGAGGAGGCGATAGTGAGAGGTCGCCGGAAAAGAGCTACCTGAAACCAGAAGTCATCGCAAAACCGCATGAGTCGGTGCTTTGCTCGCCCACTGAAACAGCCGAGAAAGGAAACAGTGTGCAATTACAAAAATGTCCTCAAGTTTATTGCCTTAAACAAGCTAGTTTGACTTTAGGACCAAATCGGGTAAAAATGACATAGTTGGGGACCAACTTGAGAAATTTTGATAGTCAAGGACCAAATTGGTGAAATCCTCATAGTCGATGGACCAAATCGGTAATTAACTCGTAAAATAAGTCTTCAACTTTACTTAAAAACTCAATTAAGCCTTCAAATTTTTAAAAGTTACAATTAAACCAATAAACATGCTATTTTGAAACATTTAAGCCTATAAATCGGTTGGTAACTTGTAATTACAGGTTACCTCCGGTGACCTTTCCTACACTTTCCGGCAATAATCACCAACGACCGAATGATTGTCGGGGTCGCGTTTGGAGGTGGCGACCAACTGGTCTGCCTTTTCCTTCGTTGGTCGCCTAGGCAGACTAACTGATCACCTTCTCCAGTAGCCGGAGAAGGCGACCAATTCAAACTAGTCGCCTTCTCTGACGAAGGAGAAGGCACACTTGTTGGTCGCCTTCTCCAACCGCCAGAGAAGGCAACCAACTTGGTTACCTTCTCAAGCGAAGGAAATGTAGACTAGTAGGTTGCATCTTCCAAACGCGACCAGCGACCGTCCGATCGTCGGTGATTATTGCCGGAAAGTGTAGAAAAGGTCACCGATATTCTAGGTAACCTGTAATTACAAGTTACCAATCGATTTTTTGGCTTAAGTGCTTTAAAATAATATGTTTACACCATGGTGACCCCTCGGACCTCAATGAGGATCATATGGAGGAGGAGCCGTGGCATGAATGCACCGAGGAAGAGGGTCGTGTGGCACCCCGGAAGGGGTTGTTGCCTAGGTCCTCCTGTGTTTATCTTGTCTTTTTTTTTTTTTTTTGTGTTTGTTGCCCTTGTTGTGTTTCTTATGAAGATCATTACTTGGAATTGCCAAGGTGCAGCTTCTAAGAGGTTTCTTAGGGCTGCCATGATCCTTATCAGGCAACATAGGCCTGACTGTTTTTGTGTCCTTGAGCCTAAGTCTTCAAGTACAGGGGCAGATGAGACCTATCTAAAACTTGGGTTTAACCAGTGGTTGAGAGTTGAAGCGGTGGGTTTGAGCGGAGGGATCTGGATCCTCTGGAACAACTCACTGAATGTGACTTTTAAACGCACCAATTCTCAATTTGTGATAATGGAACTAAGGAACACCACGAACAGGCTGTCGAACGTGGCAGTTGTGTATGCTAGCCCTTCTTTTAATCTTCGACGGCAGTTATGGTCGGATCTTGGGAAGGAACAAAATAGCTTGGAGGAGGCATGGGTCACGCTAGGGGACTTTAACTCAGTTACGTGCAGTGAAGAGGTTAACTGTCCCGAAAATTTTAATATCCGGAGAAGTAAGGATTTTACGGATTGGATTAATCATGAAGGCCTGATTGATTTAGGCTTCAAGTGTCCTCACTTTACATGGCGACGGGGGACAACCGTAACTACAATACGGGCTGCGAGACTTGATCGATGCTTGTGTACGGAAGCTTGGTTAGACTTCTTTCCATATGCCACTGTTACACATCTCCCGAACCTTACTTCGGACCATAACCCAGTTATGCTCACTTTAGAAGGAGGGATGTGTAGTAATACTCCGAGACGTTTCCAGTATCAAGCTGTTTGGGGAACGCATGAGGAGTTTGCTGGTTTCATCAGTAACACTTGGAAAAGTATGAAGGTAACGGATTTTGATACAAAACTAAAAACAATGACAACCGCACTCTTGGCTTGGAGCAAGGAAACAATCGGCAATCTTGAGAGGAAGAGGAAAAGGATAATTGCTAGAATTGACGGTATCCAACGCGCAAGGAGTTATGGCAAGAGTGGAGGCTTGATTAAACTAGAAGCTTCTTTGAGACAAGAGTTGGAGGATATTTTATATAAAGAGGAACTTACTTGGTTTCAAAGATCACGTGAGGAGTGGATTGCCTCCGGTGATAGAAATAGAAAGTATTATCATGACATCACCAAAATCAAGAAAGCAAGAACTCAAGTGTCGAGCTTAAGGAACAGTGAAGGAGTTTGGATAACTAATGAAGAGCAGATAATGAAAATGGTGCAGGATCATTTTCATAATTTCTTCACAGATGATGCTGATCACGGTGACCGGAGGTATGTTTTCCCAGGCCAAGTTGGGCTAAATACTAATGATATTTCTATCCTTTGCAGGAACGTTACAAGAGAAGAAATCAAGGAAGCCCTTTTTGACATGGCACCCTACAAGGCACCAGGGCCAGACGGTTTCCATGCGGCCTTTTATCAAAAAACGTGGAATGTAATCGGATATGATCTTTCTGACAAAATCTTGGCGTTTTTCCAAATAGCTAAGATGCATCAAAGTTGGAACGAGACTTTAATAGCTTTGATTCCCAAGATTCAGAATCCGGAGGTCATCACTCAGTTCAGGCCAATTAGCTTGTGCAATGTTAAGTACAAAACCATTACCAAGGTCATCACTAACAGATTAAAAAATGTCATGACCAAAGTGGTGGGAGAGGAACAGAGCAGTTTTGTCCCTCAGCGCCAAATCACGGATAACATTGTTGTTTACCAGGAGATTTTGCACACAATGAGGACTAGGAGAAGTGGACAAAAAATGATGGTGCTGAAAATTGACTTGGAAAAGGCATATGACAGAATTTCGTGGGACTTCCTGGAAGATACGATTAAAGAACTCGGAATAGGGGAACACTGGACAAAGCTCATAATGGAGTGCGTGAGAACGCCAAAGTTGGCTATACTCTGGAAAGGATCACAATTGGACTGGATTATCCCCACTCGTGGGCTTAGACAGGGTGATCCAATATCCCCATATCTGTTTGTCCTGTGCATGGAACGGTTAAGCCGGTTAATCAAAGAGGAGGTTCGATGCAAGAGGTGGAAGGGAATCAGGTTGTCAAGGCAAGGACTTGAACTAACTCATTTCTTTTTTGCAGATGATATGGTGTTGATAGCTGAAGCTACAATAGATCAAATCAGGGTGGTCAAGCAATGCCTAAAGAGATTTGAGGATGTGTCAGGTCAGAAAGTGAGCATCCAGAAATCCCAAATTTTCTTTAGCAAATACATGGACCCTACTTTGGCTCATGACATTACAAACGAGGCGGGGTTTGAGTGCACAGAGGATCTCGGGCGTTACCTTGGAGTACCTTCAATACATGGGCGAGTCACGAAGAGCATCTTCACACCACTTATAGAGAAGGTGGACTCTCGTCTGGAAGGATGGAAAGGGTGTAATCTGACCCTAGCAGGCCGAATAACACTAGCACAAAGTGTCTTGAACGCAATGCCATATTACATGATGCAGTCCGTATATATCCCTAAGGGCGTCTGTGACACAATTGAGAAGCGGATAAGGTAGTTTGTGTGGAGGGGTAACATTCACCTAGTTAACTGGGAAAGAATTACAAAGCCTAAAGAGCAAGGTGGTGTTGGCCTCCGCAGACTAAAAGAGATGAACCTAGCTTTCCTAACAAAATTGGGGTGGACGTTGCACACCAATAAAGAAAGCTTGTGGGCAAGGGTTTTGCTCGACAAATACATGCATGGGAAACCAGAAGGGAGTGCTTTTGTAAAGAAGACAAACTG